CCCCCAACCCCCTCCAGCAGCTCTTATAGACGGCTTGCAACCCCACCCTGTTGCTCCCCCTCCCCTTTCAACAGCTCTCATTGATGACTTCATTTCCCTAGAGTTCCTGCCATCAGACGCCGACCGCGGCCTCATCATCCCAGTGAGTCCCCAACTGCTTTTTCTCTCCCACACTCCCAGACCCTGCCGCCCACAGCCGGCGCTGCCGCCCCTGCATGGCTGGCGTGCGGGCCGCGGGCGGCAGGGGGGGGGGAGTGTGAAGGAGCGTTTCGGCGCCTGCATGGGGACGTTGATATGCGGCAGCTGCCGCCCACTCGCGGCTTTGGCTCCGCCTCACCCGACAGGTCATCAATCGCCCCAACTTGCTTCAGCCGCCTGCATCCCTTGCTCTTCTCCCTGCTCACCCCTTGTATACACACACACACACACACACACACACACACACACACACACACGCACACACACACACCACCACCACCATCACCACACTCCCAGGTGATGGAGCGCGTGCTGGGCCCGTACCTGCGTGGAGGCGGCGCGCGCTCCTTCAACTTCCAGGCCCTCTCGCAGGTGCGGCCGCGACCGGCCCTTTTCTGGTCTGCGAGGCCCCGCCCCTCGGCGCTGCCCAGGCCCGCTGGTCGCCGCCTCCAGCTCTGGGTTAGGGGGCTTAGGTTGGATCCTGCGTGGGGGCTTTTGCCTCGGCTTTTGTGCTGCGCACGCGAGCACCCCCTCTCTCATGGCGCCGTTGTGCGACCGAGCTGACATCATGCTGACGTCACCCGCCGTCCATGCCGTCCCCCCCCCCTTCCCGCCCTCCGATGAACCTCAGGACCTCCTCGCGGCCACCCTGGAGATCCCCTTCTCGGTGCCGCCCTACATGAGCCTGCTCGCCAGGGTGGGGGGCGTTGATACATACATGCAATTGTATAGATTTGCAGACGCACGTGTGTCTCAACTGAAACTGCAGTATGTACATCACCATCACATGTATGCGTGTGTGCTTGGTGCCGGCTCTGATGCCCAAATAGCGCCATGGTGCCGGGCCCGCCCGCTGTGGGCGGCGGGTCGTGCCGCGCCGCGTGCGCGCGGCAAGCATCACCAGCGAACCCTGTCGCCCGCTCAGCCGCCCCCCAAGGGGCCGTCTGCCCGGCCAGCTGTGTAGAGAGCGAGCGACTAGCACGCCTGATTCGTCTTGCCAACTGCCTCCATCACCATCTGCATCGCCATGACTATCACACACAATGCCTCATGCCCCCATCCTCCAGGCTGTCGCCACTTTGGAGGGCATTGCGCTGCTGGGTGACCCCCAGTACCAGATGGTGGCCCAGGCCTACCCCTTCGTTGCGCGCAAGGTGGGTGGGGGGCGCTTTTGTGTATGTGTGTGTGTGTGTGTGTGTGTGTGTGTGTGTGTGTGTGTGTGTGTGAGTGTGACCGCGCGTGCGTGTGTGTGTGACTGTGTGTGTGTGTGTTTGTGTGTGTGTGTGTGTGTGTGTGTGTGTTTGTTTTGCGTGCATGTGTGTTGCGTGCGCGTGGATTGCGGTTGCCCAGCGACTTGCATCATCCATTGCTCCGGGCTGCAGCGGCTCAACCTCAGCAAGAGTGGCCTGATGTAGTGCCCCAGCTGCTGAACCTGTCCTCAACAAACATACACATTCACACACACTTGCACATTGTTCCCTGCCTTACAGGTGCTGCGCAACGACAGCAGCGGCGCGGGGCAGCTGCTGCGCGACATGCTCTACGACTCACAGGGCCAGCTGCGCCCTGCGCGGCTGTCGGCGCTGCTGCAGGTGAAACGCGCTCGCACACGCGCGCGCTGACTGCACGGCCGCTCCTGGAAGCGCGGGCGGCGATCAGGGCGGCGGTCCCGCCGGCCGCTGTCGCTCGCCCGCCTGGCCGCCTATTGCCGAACCAGCGGCGCAACAATGCTGCAGATTGTCATCGCGAATCCAGCCGTCATGGAACCGTGTGCTGTCATTGCTGTTACGGCCGCCTCATCCACACACACTCCTGCAGCGCCGCACAATGCTGCACCTCCCCCTTTCTGACACGTATACAACCCATTTTCCCCCAGGCTGCCCTGGGTTATGTGGCGGCCAAAAGTGAGGGCTTCGTGGATCTTGACGCTCTGCCAGAGGAGGGCGCCAGCACCACAGAGGTGAGGGCGCGCGCGTGTGTGCGTGTGTGTGTGTGTGTCTTGTGAGGGAGGAGGGCGCCAGCAGTGCAGCGATGGGGCGGTTTTTTCTGGGGGGGGGGCGTCAGTGTTGCAGAGGGGGCGCGCGTGGGAGGGGATATGCG